GGGGGGGGGGCTACAATCTTAGCCCCATAGCTGGCCTTGAGCCAAGATCCCACAACCAGGGCCTCTGATTCTGGACAAGGTGCTGCTGGGAGATAAACACTTCCTGAAGAGATGCTCAGCCAAGGCTGACAGCAGGAGGGCAGCCTGGCATGGACATTCCTCCCAAAATCACTTCAACTTCCAGGAAGCTTTCAGTCCCAAACTCCACTGTCTCCTGCCTGGGTCTCAAAAAAGTCAGTCCCCAAATCCTAACCTCTTGAATTAAGCAGCACTTTATAGGTGGCAAAGATCTCTCCCATACTTTAATCACCTGGAAGAAAGCTCCCTGCTTCTAGGACCTGACTTGTGGCCAGATAACCCTTCTCACTTGCCATCCTCTCCCTACTCTTCCTCCCTCCCACAGCTCACAGGACTAAGGACCAAAGGCATTTCTGGGCACTGAGATCCTCCACTTCTACCCACAGCCATGAGCCGGCGTGTGGTTCGGCAGAGCAAGTTCCGCCATGTGTTTGGGCAGGCAGCAAAGGCTGACCAGTCCTACGAGGATATCCGTGTGTCCAAGGTCACGTGGGACAGCTCCTTCTGTGCTGTCAACCCCAAATTCCTGGCCATTATTGTGGAGGCTGGAGGTGGAGGTGCCTTCATTGTCCTGCCTCTGGCCAAGGTGAGGGATGAAGGGAAGAAAGCAGTGGGGAAGACACTGGCTGTAGCTCCTGGGGACCCCTCCTTCAGTCAGGAGGGCAGTTTGTATCCATTGGCTGCTCCCTGTTCCCCAAGCCCTTGGGGACCAAGTGGGAGGCTCCCTCACCCTTCACAGGGCCGCAGCATCACAGTGCCCTGCACCCACTCATAGCCCATCCCTCACTCCATGCAGCACCCTGTTGCCAGCAGGGACCAGAAGAGTATTATGAAGATAGTTGGGAAGCAGTGGAGCCAGGGCCTGGCCCAGACTCTGTCCTCATCTCTCCTAATGCCACGCCTCCTCATGTTTTGGGTGTGGGATCTTTCTCCCCAGAGCTGGGTGATCATTGGATTAAATCACACCCCAGAGCAGCACACTGAGGACAGAGTCAAGCTCTTTCCAAAGAGTCCCTGGCCACCTCCCCACTGTGGTTCTTACAGTGGGATAGAATGAGAACGAAGGGCAGGGGGACATGACACATAAGGCCAAAGCCCTCCCTACCCCAGGGATGGAGGCCAGCAGTGACTTCCACCTTTGATGAGTGGCCTCAAGCCTCTTAGAAATCTCCACCCCCCAGGATGGCCACCTGAAGTCATGACCTTGACCTGGATCTGGCCCCTATACCTTGTTAAGGGAGGCTCCACAGGTGGCAGGGTCAGAAAGAGGCCTGACAATAGCCAGTGACTCACTTGGGGACAATGCAGACATCATCTAAGGACACCATCCCCAGGGCTCAAATTTCAAGCTGGAGCCACTTCCTCACCCAGTACAACTGCCATTCCAATGCTACACAGCCACCCCACTCCCCTACTGCCTGGTCTGGACTGACTCCAGCCCCTGCAAAGGCTTCAGAGCCCCCATAAAAAGCCCATAAGGACCAAAGTAGATGAGCGCCAGCTCAGGCACTAGGAGTAACTGCTGCTCGTGGTTCCAAGGTCAAACCAGCGACAAGGGGAAGACTTGCCAAGGGGGACAAAGAAAGGGCTATTGGCCACTGCATTCCATATTACCTCACCTTGACCTCTTCTACCAGGGGCTTCCTATAGACATTCTCACTGAGAGAACAGGCCCAAGAACAGCCTCCTCCTAATAGGTATTTTTGCAAGAGCTCTGGACTGAGAGTTCAAGTACTGACTCAACCAGTATCTTGCTCTGTGTCTTTGGCTAAGTCATTACCTCTCTGTGTCTGAGATATTAAATGACTTCAACTCTGCCTTCAGTGAAGTACAGGAAGTAGTTGGATGGGGCTGAAGGTGCAGAAAGGGGTTTGCAAAGAGAAAATAGGTGATAGAGTACTGAGATGTAAACAGGTCCACTGCCTACCCCCAAAAAACACACAGGAAAGTGATCCTATAGCTCCCTCTCTGACCCCTCCAGACAGGACGAGTGGATAAGAACTACCCTCTGGTCACTGGGCACACTGCTCCAGTGCTGGACATCGACTGGTGCCCACATAATGACAACGTCATCGCCAGTGCCTCAGACGACACCACGGTCATGGTAGGAGCCAAGTGGATGCTTCAGGGCAGTTGGGCAGGGGAAGGGGGGAGGGCTGCCTCACCTGTGTTAGGGAAGGTGGTAAAAGAGGTGCTAGGTCCTAGGGCCCTACCCTGCCCAGCTCCCAGGCTATATTTAGCCACATGCCCACCGGCTCCCAGGATGCACTTCTTAGGACTAATTATAGCCATGGCCAACTTGAGGCCTGAAGAGCAAGGGGGCAGTGCTCTGAAGTCTCCCTGCTGGGGTGTATAGAGAGGTCTCTAAAGAGCTGGCAGTGCCCCCTCCTGGCTCCCAGCTGCTTCTGCCTGGGGCAGGCGCCATTACATCTTGCCCTGCATTTGATTTTCACCACTCAAGAGAGCCTGTAGGGTTGGGGTGCGGGGTGCGGAATAAGGGAGGAGTAGAGGGACAAAGCAGGCCCCTCATCCCACTTAACCTATGCCTTTTCCTCCCCACCTAGGTGTGGCAAATTCCAGACTATACCCCTATGCGCAACATCACAGAACCCATCATTACACTCGAGGGCCACTCCAAACGTGTGGGCATCCTCTGCTGGCACCCTACTGCCAGGAATGTTCTGCTCAGTGCAGGTCTGGGGCCTGGGGGAGGGGTCCCTACTGTAGATTGTGGGGGGGCAAGCAAAGGCAGGACCCAAGTAATGGTGACTGGCTGCTCTGGACAGGTGGTGACAATGTGATCATCATCTGGAATGTGGGCACTGGGGAGGTGCTCCTGAGTCTAGATGACATGCACCCGGACGTCATCCACAGTGTTTGCTGGAACAGCAATGGTAGCCTGCTAGCCACAACCTGCAAGGACAAGACCCTGCGCATTATAGACCCCCGCAAGGGCCAGGTGGTGGCGGTGAGTGCTTGGCCTGGCCATCCCCCAACCAGCTGTCAGGCCCCTGTACCCTTAATCCTCTGAGCCCCTAGTCCCAGCTCTCGCCTCCCCACCCCAACCCAAGGCCACCCTCCTTCCAGTGTCTGCAACCACTGCTCCCAGCGCTAAGTAAGCCCACAGTCCACAATTTTCTGCCCCGCTCCTGTTCCCTCCACTCCCCTGCATCTCAGAAGCTCAGAGCAGTGCTCTTTCAGTTGTAATTGAGCGAGAAGCTGTCAACTCTATCCCTCCACCAGAACCTGCATGAAACCTCCCGCACCCCTCTCCTCTCAGCTGGCACCCAGCGCCATCTTCCAGGGTTTGGAGCCCGACAGGGGCTCTCTGGCAGGCCCCTTTCTGCCCTAGTCAACCCACTGGGCGGCAGGGAGAGAGGGGACAACCCTCGTGCCTCATTAGTCCCAGCCCGGTACCCTGGCAGGGCGGCGGCACCTGCCTCACCAGCCTCAATTTTACGCGGGGTGCGGGTGCGTGGGGCACGTGCATGTCTGCGCGGAGTGCGCGTGGAGGGCGCGGCCGGGGCGGGGGCGGGCCGGCGGGCGCTCTAACCCACTAACCCCGCGAGCAGGAGCGAGCCCGGCCTCACGAGGGCGCCCGCCCGCTGCGGGCCGTCTTCACTGCAGACGGGAAGCTACTCAGCACCGGCTTCAGCAGGATGAGTGAGCGGCAACTCGCGCTCTGGGACCCGGTAGGCCAGGCCGCGCTGGGCACACGCGCTCGCTCCTTCGCTGGGCCTGCCAGGAGCGCCCTCCCAGGCCGCGGCCGGTGCCCGAGAAGGCGGAAGCGGAGCGGGGAGCTCCTGTCTGGGAAAAGCCTCGCTGCGACCCGGGGAGCCGGCAGACATCCCCTGCTCTAGGGATCAGCCTCTGAGGGTGCTTAAGGGCTCGGGATCTGCTGAGAGGCCCGCGCCTCCCACTCTTTCTGGGCCCAGACGCTCTCCAGGCCAGCGGCCAGCCAGGGCCCCCCAGGAAGCTGAGTAGTTAGGCCCTCTTCTGTCTCCAACCCCCACCCCTACCCTGTCTCTTCCCCACCAAAATCAGCAAACTGGTTGCTCGGCCCTCCAGGCTCTCCAGAGCAGGCAACTGGGTGACGCCTCTCCCTGTCTCCCCCGTTCCCCCAGGAGAGGTTTGCGGCCCACGAGGGAATGAGGCCCATGCGGGCCGTCTTCACGCGCCAGGGTCATATCTTCACCACGGGCTTCACCCGCATGAGCCAGCGAGAGCTGGGCCTGTGGGACCCGGTAACGCAGCTGGAAGCTTGGGGTGTGTGCCCCGGGGACTGGCATCACGGGAGAGGGGCCAGGCGCCCCCCACCCGCAGGGCATGCCCACCTGGACTGGGCTGGAGGCTGCTGCCCCCTTTGCAGCGCCTGCCATCCCCACACCCACCCCTCTGCCCAGTTTTGCTGCGTCGCCTGAAGGAGCCCACGCTGGCACCTCCACCTGGTGATGCCGAGTCCCTGGGGGTGGTTTGCGGTGGCTGCAT